CTCGGACGTGCCCAGCGTGGGCGGGCTTAGCGCAAACGGCACGCTGGCAGACGGGAGCATGCCTCTCGAATTTGTGTCCTCTCAGGAGTACCCGCCAGACCGAGATCTGGCAGGGAAAGGCCCCGGCAAGTTAAAAAAAAAAAAAAAAATCTATAAAAACAATATCCGTTTGGATTCCCTTGTGTTTTTTGCCCAGTCCGACAGGAGCTCTGAAAGCAGGAGGCCAGCTTTCCCCTGGGGCTGCTGGGCTGAGCCCCTTGCCTTCCTGCGGGGACGTGCTGAGAGGGCAGCGATGCCGCTGGGCCCAAAGCAGCTCTTCATCTCCTCACGCCTGTCTGAGGGGTTTCTGATCGCCTGGCTTAACGCTCACGCCTTTGCAGGCGTCACCGTACACGAAAGTGCTTCTGCTCCCGCTTCAGTCGTGTCGTGGTATACTTGCACAAATGGAAGATGCTGAAATTCAAGAATTTGAGCCGAGCTGTAGTCTTAGCGCGGGGCTTTATTTACAATCGAGTAGCCTTTTACACTCTGTAATGGTCAAGGAGGTTGCATAACGCAACGAATGAGCTCATGACGCTAACGCTACAGTATTGGTGAATATCGTGAACGCGTTAGGTGAACGTTTTGATGACAAATGTTTTGGTTTGTTATTATTTTAGTTTTGAAATCTACTACGGCAAGATAGGCTAAGTGAATACGCTGTGTGTTTACTTTCCAGCTAGCTTAAGCCAATGATTTTCAATGATGGTGTAGATCCTTGCACAGGACATTTAATCCCTTTACAACTATCATGGGTTTCTTGCAAGCTTACTGTTGTAAGGTTTCAATGCTGGACAATTTTAAAAGCTTAAAAGAAAATGTTTTTTGTATGGACAGCTGGGCTACATGTTATCATCAGCCAGTTTTGACAACAATTCACATGAAACCTGGCTCTTTTGTGGGTTGTTTTTTAAACCAAAGGTTATTACACAAAAAGTTATTCAGTACGTCCCATTTTAAGGACGAAATAAAATGCTTTTTTGTTCAAATAGCACCGCTTTGTGGCCAGTTCTGGTAAGTGACGCTTTCCTATACCTAGCCGTGTTAAAAGCACTGCTGAAATTGTTTAATTGAAATAGAGAGGAAACTTTGCTCATCTTGGCCGAATGTAAAATACTTTTGGAAGTATCAGATGTGATTTGAAATCTGAAGTGTTTTCAGAAAAAGACATTTAATTACTTTCCTGTGTTGCTAGTAGTTTCTACTTAGCACTTAAAATTACATTCATGCTTTTCACAGAGCTGAAGTTTTGATCAGGGTAACTGGTTAATCATAGTGGTATGCAAATGATAAAGTGGATACACTTTTGTTCAAAGCCGCATAATATATTTGAGCTTAAATGATTTACTTTTGCTTATCTCAATGTGCAATGTCTAAGAAGTTTCAAATCTTTTGGGGTTTTTTTGTTTCAGAATTAAGCCACTTTTAAATCAATATTCAGTAATCAATCATTGTTATAAAACTGTGTATTATACTTAGCTGTATTATTAAGAAGAACACGTGCTCTGTCTCGCTGTGCGGGTAGGTAATATAGAGAGTCCACAGAAAACTTCTGTAGTTTTGTAGCCTTATGCACTGTCTGTACATAGTTACTTACATATTCTGATGGAAATATTACATAAAAATAGGTATTTGTACACAAAATTGTGTACAGAAATAGCTCCATGCATCTCTTAGTGGCGTTATGCTGTGACTATCCTTGTCACCTGGAAGACTTTCATTTCTGATGGCATAGTATTCCATGAAAACAAACAAAAAGAGCTCTCTAGAAACGTGTTTGTAAATTGAACATCTTTCCTGCAGGAAGGGTAACAGGTCTATTCAGCTCATCTCAGTTTCCTTTTAAGCAGATAAAATCTATGTTTACTCCTAACAGTTGTTTGCATTATTAAACGGTGTGAAGAAAAGCTGTACTTGTGAAAGAATTGGTCTATGTTTTGTGTCTTAATTTATGCCAGCATACAAATTGACCAGACTTAAAGGTAGATTTGGTTTATTGGAAACAGTAGTATTTCCCTTTTTTCTTTAAGTCTTTGTTAAATAAAATTATAGTGTACTTTCAGAGACACTTCCCCTACTGTTCTAGAGTTACAGTTCTTTTCCCCTTTCTCTTTTCTCTTTTTCTTTTTTTAATGAAAGAGAACTAGATGGTTGAGAAGACCCAAAATAACATATAGAGCTGTTTGAGCCATTAGTTTACATAAAAGGCTGGGCTGGTTAGGCTTTTAATTGCCTTAAGGTTATCGGTAATGTGTGAGATAGAGCATGTTTTAAGTACTTTAATAGGTAAAAGCATTGGTACGTATCAGTACTACAAATCATCATCTTTTAGTCAAAGCTGGCAAAAAGGGCAAGGTCCGACTAAATACGAACATAAATTAAGTCCAAGAAAGTGGTATGCTATCTTTATTTAGAGGAAGTGGCAGAGCATTGAGTTTTTCTGTGAGCTCTTCCACTGATATACCCTCTTATTTCATGGTGGAAAACGTTATTTTTACTTGTATCTGCTGTTTGGCAATTTATGAAATTCTATTCATACTGAAAAAAATACTAAAACAATATTTAATCATACGCAATTAAGTCCAGAAAGTGGACTATCTTTATTTAGAGGAAGTGGCAGAGCATTAAATTTTTCTGTGAGCTCCACTGATATACCCTCTTATTTCATGGTGGAAAACATTATTTTTATTTGTATCTGCTGTTTTTTAATTTATGAAATTCTATTCATACTGAAAAAAATACTAAAACAATATTTAATCATACGCAGGTTGGATGAGAATATTTTTAATACCTGCCTTTACTGCCTTGGGAGAGTATCTATGTTGTTTCCTGTTTTCCTTTGTTTTTCCTTTTGAAAATGATGAATGTGCCAAATTTGATTAACAATAATGGAAAACATTATTTTTATTTGTATCTGCTGATTGGCAATTTATAAAATTCTATTCATACTGAAAAAAATACTAAAACAATATTTAATCATACGCAGGTTGGATGAGAATATTTTTAATACCTGCCTTTACTGCCTTGGGAGAGTATCTATGTTGTTTCCTGTTTTCCTTTGTTTTTCCTTTTGAAAATGATGAATGTGCCAAATTTGATTAACAATACAGACTCAATAATACTGCACAGGAGTAAAACATATGTTCTTTGGGATGATCTGTCTCCTTTCATTTTATTATTTCATACTAGCATTATTCTGACACATGCTATGAATCAGAGCGTAGCTATCATTTTTCTTTGCTGTTATTAGGTTTCTGGCTATTAAAATGATTAATTTGCTGGTTAATAATATAACTTCAGTTTCTTATTCTAACCTATTCCCCAAATGCTCATCTGTTCACAGCACAAAAAGAATTAAGTAGTTTATGTGATAAGATTTAAGGATTGTTGTTTTGCCAGACGCTTGTACTGATGTCTCCCATTTTGGCTGCGAATTTCAGCGTGGAGTTTTCTTGTAATGCTTGTTGCTGAGGAGCAATCAACCTGTTCGTGGTGTAGTAGTTTCTGAAATGTAGTAATCCATTAAACAGGTCTCTCAGCCTACCTTTTACAAGAAAGGGGAGCAGGATGCTTGCGTGTTGTATCGGCAGTAAGTTTCCTGATGTAGGTACACAAGTGGAAATTTTCCCAATATTAGATCTGGTTGAAGACATCCAAAATTGCTATGATTTCTCAGTTGGTGTTTTATAACCAAAAGATTCTGCTAGGGAGAGAGGGAAAGGGGAGGGAATAATTTGTGATGCGTCTAAGACCGCCAAACACTTGCCAATTAAAGTTTGGATTGAGTTACCCGCATCGTCATGGTATTTTCATTCTACCGGTCTCTAACTTAGACTTGTACAGAGCATGCCCTTTAGAGAAGTTGTTGTATAATGGAATATTTTCTCTTCAAATTGAGCTGTTTCATCATGACTGATCATGCTAGCTATTTGAAGATTTTCTCCTCTGCCTGGCTGAATCTTATTCGGGAGGTGGGCTTGAAAAACCACTAGAGCTCTGAATCTCTCAGAAAAATGTTGTCATTTCAAGAGCAGTAACTTATGAAAAGAATATTGAAATATTAAAGTATGTCTCCAAGGAATAACATTGTATTTTGCAGGGAGATCCGTATTAACTCTGAAGAAACTAGAATTCTTTCATCGGCAAGAAATAGCTCAGCTGAGAACTACTGTGTACATTAGCACAAGCAGAAACACCATTAACAAAGCTATATTGCTTCTTATGTTTATCTTTATCTTTTCACAGGACTGTGCACTACGTATGTCTACCCTCAGGTAATTTAAAAATTCTTATTTTCAAGTTATGGAATATTTGTCTAAGGTATCGTGACCAGAACAATGAGACTGGCCATGTCATTGGCTAGGCGAAAGTTTTATTTATAATTTGCAGTATTTAATGTACATGATATGATCTCAGCTGACTTCTTTTAAGCACTATTTGCTAGGGACCTACTTGAAGAGACTTTTGTTAAGTGATGTTCCACCCTATTTCCAAT